CGTCGGTGATGACGTCGGGAACGACGTTGGTGACGACGTCGATGACGACGACGACGACGACGACGACGACGTGACGACGACGACGATGACGACGACGATGACGACGGTGACGACGACGACGACTTTGGTGACGACGTCGGTGACGACGACGGCATCGGCGACGACGACGACGACGACGACGACGTCGCTGACGAAGACGACGACGCCGACGTCGGCGTCGACAGCGACAACAACGACGACGACATCGAAAGACGGCGACGACGACGACGTCGATGACGTCGGTCACGACGACGACGACTACGACGACGACGGCGACGTCAACAGCGTCGGTGACTATGACGACGCCGACGACGTCGACAACGTCGATGACCACGATTACGCCGACGACGAAGACGACGACGACGACGATGACGACGACAACGACGACGAGCACGACGACGACGACGGCGTTGGTAGCGACGACGACAAACGACGACGACGACGTCGGTGACAACGTTGACAAAGTCGGTGACGACGAGGAACAGGACGACGATGATGACGAGGACGACGACCACGACGCAAGTGACGACGACGACGACGTCGACAACGACAACGACGACAACGAGGTAGATGACGACGACGACGTCGGAAACGACGACGACAACGACGACGACGACGTCGGTGACGACGACGACGACGTCGGTGACGACGACGACAAAGATGTCGAGATTGGTGACGACGTCGGAAACGACGACGACTACGACGCCGACGACGGTGACGACGTCGACGACGACGACGACGATGACGACGACGTCAGTGACGAGGACGACGAAGTCGACGACGAAGTCGACGTCAGCGAAGACGACGTCGGGGACGACGACAACGACGTCGGTGACGACGACGACGACGACGACGTCGGTCACGACGTCGGTGACGACGACGACGACGACGATGACGACGACGACGTCGGTGACGACGACGACGGTGACGACGACGACGACGAACGACAACGACGGTGACGACGTCTGTAACGACGACGAACGACAACGACGACGACTTCTGTGACCAAGACGACGACGACGACATCGGTGACGACAACGATGACGACGACGACGTCGGTGACGACGTCGGTGACGACGTCGGCGACGATGACGACGATGAGGACGACGTCGGTGGCGACGTCGGTGACGACGACGACGACGACATCGACGATTACGACGACGACAAAGGCGACGACGACGATGACGACGACGTAACGACGACGACGACGACGTCGTCACGACGTACGTGACGACGACGACCAACGACGTCGGTAACGACGACGTCTTCGGTGACGACGACGACGGCGACGGCGACGACCACGACGACGACTACAACGACGACGACGACGACGACGACGACGACGACGACGGTGACGACGACGAACGACGACGACGACGTCGTCGGTGACGCCATCCACGACGCCGACGACGTCGGTAACGACGAGGACGACGACGACGACGACATCGACGTCAGCGAAGACGACGTCGGGGACGACAACAACGACGACGACGACGCTGGTGACGACGACGACGATGACGACGTCGGTGACGTCGGTGACGACGGCGACAACGGCGACGACGTCAGGGACAACGTCGGTGACGACGACGATGACGACGACGACGACGTCGGTGACGACGCTGGTGACGACGACGACGACGACGACGACGGTCACGACGTCGGTGACGACGGCCACGACGACGACGTCGGTGACGTCGGTGACGTCGATGCGACGACGAAGTCGGTGACGACGACGACGACGACGTCGACGACGACGACGACGACGACGACGACGACGGTGACGACGACGAACGACGACGATGCCGACGACGTCGGTGACGACGGCCACGACGACGTCGGTGACGACGACGACGACGACGACGACGACGTCGGTGACGACGACGACGACGACGACGACGACGGTGACGACGACGAACGACGACGACGACGACGACGCCGGTGACGACGACCACGACGACGGCGACGACAACGAACGACAGCGACGACGACGCCGACGACGGCGACGACGCTGGTGACGACGACGACGACGACGACGACGTCGGTCACGTCGTCGGTGACGACGACGACGACGACGACGTCGGTGACGACGAGGAACGACGACGACGTCGTCGGTGACGACGACGGCGACGACGACGATGAGATCAGTGACGACGACGACGACGGTGACGACGACGAACGACGGCGACCACGGTGCCGTCGGTCACGTCGACGACGACGACGACGACGTGGACGAACGATGACGTCGACGAACGACCACGAGCGCGACGACGCCGACGACGGCGATGAAGCTGGTGACGACGACGACGACGCCGACAACGACGACGACTTCGGTGACGACGACGACGACGAAGCCGGTGACGTCGGTGAAGACGACGACAACGACGACGTCGGTCACGACGTCGGTGACGACGACGACGACGACAGCGACGACGACGACGACGACGGTGACGACGACGAACGA